CCCCCCCCCCCCCCCCCCCCCCCCCAACAGCACTCGTATGGCCGTCGACTCACCGCCATGAGATCGTCTCTCAGCCGCTCTGAAATGGAGACTCGCAAACGACCAATGCTGACAAATAATCCTGAGGAGTTCTCGTCAAGGGAGCAACACTGAAATGTGGCAAAGCAAGAATTACTCTGGACTGTTTAAAGAGTAATGCAGGAAGAGCGGAATGCCCAAGTACACAGAGGTGAGACACCAAGAAAGACAAAGGGATTCTCAAACATCTTAAACATCAACATCTTTGGATAAATAAACCAACCGTCACTCAGGACGAACAGGATGAGGATGAAGACATTCACGTGTGTTCTTTGTGGCTGCAGGACTCGTACAGCAGATGTGGGACTTTTGCTTCAGCCTGTGTGGCTGAATGACTAACTCTGAACAATGCAAAGCACAGTGACCAAGTAGGCATCATGCCTGCTGTGGATGAGTCAACATTTCAATGAAGACAACAAGACGCCCTTAAATCAAATGGTGTCTGAAACACTGTTTGGACTCCTGACAGTGAGTTCCATTCGTCTGTAATAAGTAATCAGTTGTCTGCTACTCGTGGATTTAAATGTTTTATTGTAACTTACGGTACTTTTGTCAACTTAAATTATTAAATGCATTTCAGTATTCAGCTTTTAGAGCACAAGGGGCATGAGGAAAATGTGTGTTTTGATTCTCTCTCCAGTCTTCAATGCTAAAATGTTAAGTGTACTTAAATGGCTTTTTTGTCTCATAAGCTCAACTCAACAAGTTTGTGAGGCTGTGAATGATCTGAAGAATGGTTCATGTATGTGGAAATGAAGTGTCTGCGTGTGTGAATGTAATATACAGTCCTCTCAGTGATGTGAAATCCTCCCCAACACTCTCAAGGCAGTTTTCTGCAAGTATTAAAAGAGACGACTGGTGTGAAGGTGGATTCTAGAGTGGTTCACACTCCTGTTTTAAAATGAACAAAAAGACGCTGGTGAAGTTTCTCCTCAGTTTGGGGCAGGAGTTTACATCTCTGTGTGCAGCGTCGATGCTGCTGTGGTTCGTTGTAAGTCCGGTGAAAGGTTGGTGACAAAGGTCTGGCAGCTGCAATAAATATACAGAAGGAAGGAGGAGTCGACAGAGGGACGTCTGCTGTCTGTCTCTGTCTGTCTGTCTGTCTAAATGTCTGCCTAAATGTCTTTGTTCTAATATTTTCTTTCAACAGATTCTTTATTTTTAAAGTTAGCACTTAAAGTGTATTATAAGTATTAATGTACACTAATAAAGCCAATTCACTGTTTATCATAGCGGTTTCTTTCATCAGGAGAATGGGTCTCGGAGACGTAATGTCTTTAGTTTGTCCGTCGGTCCCGTTCTCGTATATGTGATGACTCGAGGACACCTGGAGGATATTTCTTCACATTTGGCAAGAACATCTACTCGGAAGCAATGATGGACTGATTACATTTTGGTGATCAAAAGTCTCTGTGACCTCACAAAACCCCCTTTTGGCCATTACTCTAGAATTGATAAAATGATGGAAGTCATGATATTTTATATGCACGAGGTCAACTTATAGTTACACCTTTTTTTTTTCGCTACATGTGTACTTAACCGTACTGTCTATTCTTTACCTTTATCGGTCCAGCTTTGGTGTCACTAGCTAGTATTTCTATTTCTGTGTAAGTACATCGAGAGAGATTTAAAAACCCGATTCAGATTCCTTGTCGGTGCTCATATTTGGCCCATAAACCTGATTGTGATTGTATTGCTTATGATTAAGGAATTTCTGGAGTCCAGAAAAAAAGTTTGTTCACTGCTATGGTTAATATTAAATTAAGGCTTCAGTTTATAAAATGGATGCAAGATTTAAATGAGCTCTGGTTTATGTAGGTCAGCCAGTGATCGACTATCACTGAAACTACAACTTCATTCTGGATAAACACTGTTTACAGCTGACCACCAGGTGGAGCCAAACTCCATTACTTTAATTATGTTTGTGTCTCGCTTTGCTCACCGCACAGTTTACGTTCAAAGACAAACAAACTGGTTTATCCTCCAGTCAAACATCCAGTCTGTTCAGGGTGACTTTGATCAGTGTAAAGCGAGCTCAGACAACCTCTGTGGGGAAACAACGTTGTCTCAGCAGACTGAGATGAGACTAAAGATCTGCAGAAACGTTGCTAAAAGTGAGCGAGGAGAGGAGACCCGGGTCAGCGGGGTTGTTCTGCCTCTGCACCCTGATGAAACGGTAAACAGCGTGAGGTCAGAGGTCAAAGTGACAGATGTCACTGTGTGTGTATTTGTGGCAGTGGAAGGTTGTAACCTGTCTGACCAGTTCTGCATGTTATTGGAGCTAATTTCCATATTCCAGACACTCGCACTCATTAACACCTTAACTGTAGGGTGTGTGTGTGTGTGTGTGTGTGAGAGAGGGAGAGAGAGAGAGAGAGAGATGCTGGTTTAGAGGCTAAAACTATACTTGCTCTATTATTCAAATAGCAGATCCATTATTCATGTGTGTGATTACTGTAGTTTTGACACCTGTGCAGGATGTTTCAGTGACTCTAACTCTCCCTTCACCCTCACCTGATCGCTTGTATCACATCAAGGCATCCGCTTGTTTTTGGAAGAGCAGAGTCTCTTCTTCCTCACTTGTGGTTTCTTGTTGTCCTCCTCTGCCCTGGGGCCTCAGGGCTAATTGAGTCTTAATGACTTCCCGTTTGCACGGAGCCAGATCGCTGTCATGAGGTTACAGTCTGTTGAATCAATCGATCGGCTGACCGACCATTCAGTCAACTGGTATCATGTGAGAGACGAATATAAATCAGTCTGAGTTCAGCTCGGGTAGACTCACGGAAGATTCACTTATCTGCTGAAATTAGTTTTACGTGATTTGTGTTTCGTGGAGCATTTGATCCTTAGACCTGCAGCAAAAAACAAATCATCATTAGTTTGATTTGTTAGTTGCTCAGATTGTTTGTTTGATTTCAAAATTGTACAGACGTTGCAGATAAACAGAAACCTTTCGGGGCAACCTGGTCAGTTCTTCATGAAAGTAAGCATGATGATGGTCTGTGTCACAGGGCCCTGCTGATACCGATATTAGGCAGTATCGATATATTGTCGTCTCTTTGTGGCTGTTTTGCATCTCTTCGTAATCTTTTCATTTACTTTCCAGCAATGAATGTTATAAGTTTTGTTTCTAGGATTTTTGTAAATGAATTAAACTTATTCTAAACTTGTATTCTAAAGTTATAAATATATATATATATATATAT